AACATATATCATAATTTGCACTAGCTGCTATTTTCGCTTCAGTTTATAGACTTGCCAATAGAGATAGTCTCTCTTGGATCATCATATTTCTCAAGTAGGTGTTAATCAATTTTGAGAAGCTTCTTTCCGCAGACGCTGTACTGACTGAAACTGTGCACATGATTCTGGTTACTATATAAACATTCGGATATACCATACTTCGAATATGATTAATGCTATATATGAAACCAAATTGTTCAATATATTCATTAAGTGCCCCTGTGGGCGCGAGGCCGTCGGTGGTTGACGGTATCGCTAACGCCTAGCGCCGCCACTGCCAGAACATTTCTCTATTGGAAACCTTTGTGGCGAAGTACCAGTTTGTAAATTAGTATTTGGGATTATGTAATTAGATATATTATCTATAAGTGTCTTTTTCATATTATGTTGCATATTTGACATTTCTTCACGATTTACATTTGGAATGAGAAAGATTATTTCGATAGCGATGTTTAGCAAAAAGTCTATGCATCTGTTTTAGGTGCTGATTGTTGTCTCAAACTAGGTTAAGTTAGGTTATACCTGCGATCCCAGGGGAACCCACAGGCCCATTGTGCTGTTTTAAACTAAATATGTGCAATTTAGCTCAGCAACTGCTAAGGTTGCTTCTGTTAGCTTAGAATATATGCGTAAGCGTAATATAATATTAGATATGACATTTGATCTTGCAAAATCTAATGTTTCCACCTGTTTTCATTTATTATTATTGATAAAGTTGATTCTTGATAAAGTTGATACTCTTCTTATAATTAATGCAATAATATGTTTATTATTCCGGCTGACAACTAAATCAATTACTGTTGTAAGTTCATAGTCAAAGTTACAATGAATATAAAATGCACTTGAATTATTGAACAATAAAAATGAAAAAGAATAAATAAATAATAAATAAGAATAAAAAATATACAAACAGATTTTTCAGTAATAATTTTCTCAATAAAAGTTAAATTACATTTAAAATAATTTGATTCTCCGCCATTTACATTTTTAAATCTTTTAACGATAAAAAAAAAATTTTATTAAGTAAACAATATGCCTATAAATATGCTTAAATAAAATAAATTCACTGAAAGCGTAAAGATGAAAAGAGTGAAGGGTAGGGAGTTTATGTAAATGACTGCGCTTGAAATATTGTTTATTAAATTACACAATTACAGCGAAACAAATGAAAAACACAATTGAATAAATGAAATGACTAACTATACAAAATTAAAAAAAAAAAAAAATTATTTGAATTGCACTTCATCGCAGCATTAAAGTTTGTAGATACTTTTGGCGTGGAACTGTGAGCGGCTAAGTTAAAATGTCAATAAAACAATAATTACGGTCAATTCGGTTAGCGTGCAGGGGTCAACATAAGCTTAATTATTATTGAAAGCCAAAAAATACTAAAACAAAGTAAACAAATTGAATTTGTTTATATTTATTGCATAAAAGCGCGTAGCTACAGTGAACGCAATTTGAGATACATCCATCCAGTATGGTGTTTTTTTTTATATTCACATTATTATTATGTTTTTTTTTTGGTTGTGGTATTCACTATATTTGACAAATCAATGCCCACGGCTGTGATGTCATTGGACATCATTAAAAACTCCATACTAGTAGCGTTTAGTATTTAATTGGGTTTGGTATGCCCACTTCAATGGAAAGTCAAATTTTGTCCGAATACCATTAGACATTTATAACGGTTACCCACTGTAGTTGCGAGTGGAATACTTACCTATATATATATATATAGTAAATACAATAAACAATTTGGCGCAATTTGGCACAGTTCGAAAAATTAATTGAGCTTAAATATGCGTTAAATTGTTTGCAGTGGTTTTTTGTTTCGTCTGTCTGTAAAGTCATGCATTGTTATCAAATTTAATGTAATTAATTACACAATGGTTGGTTCTCTGCTCTTTGATCTACTTATACAAAACCAACAATAATAGCAATAAAAATAGCTGAGCAATTATTTCAACTTTTCATTCTTTGGCAAATTAAATTACATAGATTCTTTATCATTGCAAGATTTTTAAAATATACAAATGACTTTTAACGAATTTTTTTTTTCTTTTTGTGGCTTAAATTTGGCTTCATATTTAATGCTGTTATTCTTGTTTTACAGGTTACTGGCGCTGGTAGTGGCCTTGGTCGGGAAATTGCCATTGAATTGGCCAAAAGAGGCTGTAAGTTGGCGATTGTCGATGTACATTCGAAAGGTTGCTATGAAACTGTTGACCTCATTACCAAAACCATGCCACGTTGCGTGGCTAAAGCGTATAAAGTAAGTACTACATATAACATATATACACACATTCATATATGCGCATATGCACATACACGTATTCGCAGTTGCAGGCATGCTTAACATGTTCCACGAGCTTAAAGTAATCCATTGTAGTAATGCAAGTCATACCACAAATGCTGTTACACTACATTTGGAGTTGCCACTTCACACCCACTTACTTAACACAAATTTGCACACCACATACTCTGACTCTTTTGTTAACACTTCAATTTACTTGCATTAATCTCATTCTGTCCTACTCATTCATCCTACCTTTGCACTTATAATTTTGGTTGCTTGTAACGCTGCTGCTGATATAGTGGCTGGTGTGCCCACCACAGTTCTTATGTTTTTCGCTTATGTGTAAATTTTTATTTTCAACGCTAGACCGATGTGTCTTCTCCTAGGGAATTGCAATTAATGGCTGTCAAGGTTGAAAAAGAATTGGGTCCAGTGGAAATTTTAGTCAACAATGCATCATTAATGCCAATGACATCTACACCACAATTGAAAAGCGATGAAATCGAACGCATTATCACTGTAAATTTGGGTTCATATATTATGGTAAGTGCAGTTTATTGCATACGATTTTTTTTTGTTCAGTATGTTAAAAAGATTTATTAAACGATTTACATACGATTTCATTCTTTATATTGTAGACTACAAAAGAATTCCTACCAAAGATGGTGGCCAGAAAATCAGGTCATGTTGTTGCAGTTGCAGCATTATCTGGTAAGATTATTTGTATGCATTTTAGTTAGTTAAGCTTTGTAACTATGATTCTATTCTATTTTATTTGTAAGTTATTGATTAATTTGTTAGCTTTTTTAGGTCTAATTTTATCTTGACTAGGCAAATTACGTAGCTAACTTAGATAGTATGCTTAATTAGGTTTATATATTTGAATCGGACTGTATTGTTGATATTTGGATTGTTTTATAACTTCGTCTCTCAAAATCGTAATCTCGTTTAAATGTGTCTGGCTACAACATACTAAAATTGCTACAAATGGTTTTTATAACATTTTGCAGTTTAGAGAAATTATTCTTTCTATTGCTCTTTCTCCAGTTCCTCCAATTGTTTCTGAAGACATTAATTTCAAAACTGTTTGGGGACTCGTCGATATCATGAGACAAACAACGGCATACATTGAGTATACTTGGTAAAGAGAAATAATAAATAAATAAAATAAAATAAAATATAAATTATAAAAAAAATAAAATAAAATAAAATAAAATAAAATAAAATAAAATAAAAATAAAATAAAATAAAATAAAATAATATAAATTAAAGAAAATACAAATATTTTAGAAATCAAAACGAAATAAAATACAGTAAAATAAAATTATAAAAATGGAATATGATATAATAAAATTATATAAAATAAAATAATATAAATAATATAAAATAACATAAAATTAAAAAAATAAAATAAAATAAAATAAAATAAGATATGATAAGATAAGATAATATAAGTTAAGATGAGATAAGATGAGATAAAATTATATAAAATAAAATAAAATTGAAATACAAAAAAAAAATGATATAAAATAAAATAATATAAAATTAAAATGATTGAAATAGAATAAAATTTAAATATAATAAAAATAAAAAAAAAATAAAATAAATTAATGTAAAAATAAAAATAAAATAAAATAAAATAAAATAAAATAAAAATAAAATAAATTAAAATAAAATAAATATAATAATAAAAATAAAATAAAAATAAAAAAAAATGAAATAAAATAAAATAAAATAAAATAAAAATAAAAATAAAATAAAAATGAAATAAAAATGAAATAAAAATTAAATAAAAATAAAATAAAAATAAAATAAAAATAAAATAAAAATAAAATAAAAATGAAATAAAAATAAAATAAAAATAAAAAAATAAAAATAAAAATAAAATAAAAATAAAATAAAAATAAAATAAAAATAAAATAAAAATAAAATAAAAATAAAATGAAAATTAAATAAAAATAAATTAAATAATAAATATAGTAACTAAGCTAAGAGTGCACATTTTTATTTGAACGCGGACACTATGAAAGACATTGGTCGCATCCACTTTTCAATATATGTAAGCACAATATCTTTAAAGGCATAAAATAGCAAATAGCAAATAGGCTAAGTGCGGACATTTTTAATTGAATGCGGATACTATGCAAGACATTGGACGCACACACTTTTCAAGATATTCAAGCAAAATATCTTAAAAGGTATAAAATTAAAAAATTTGAAAATTAGGTTAAGTATGCAAATTTTTATTTAAATGCGGACACTATGCAAGATATTGAATACATCCACTATATTTTCATTTATATTTTCAAGATATGTACGCAAAATAACTTTTAAGATATTTGACTCATTTGTCTTCAAAGACGGCAGTACATTTGGATCCATCGGTCTTCAGGCATGTTTTTTCAGTATGTCTCCATTTCTGGAAGATATCTTGTATGACATATAAATCTTTTTCCAATTGGGTTTAAGTTCATATTTTTTCAACACAAACTTAATTTGATATGTTTATGTTTTCGATACCTTGTAATTATTTATTCAGTTTGTTCGCGTATATGTATTCGATGGTAGGTATTAGCCATTGTCTTAGCTAATAGGCTAATGTCTTATTCTATTATTATCTTAGCCAGTTGTTATTATATAATAAATAGTCACTACTTCTTTTTATTGACTATTAGAGTTGTCAACCAGTTCATTTACTTTAGTTTTAAAGATAACTGACCTCGGCACAGAGTGGCCGATTGCAGTGCTTAAATAATAGCCGTGTTTTATTTGAAGCTCATTTGAATTTGTTTATAACGCTTACAAAACTATTATTTCCAAAATAATAGTGTAGATAAAAATTTGATAACTTGTGAAAGAAATTGGCAATGTGTTTTTATCCGCGCTTGTGCATTAACGTAACAAAAAGCTCAATTCTTGGAGTATATGTGAGCCAGTCGTTTTCCAAAATGGGCTGGAACGTACACCTTGCATAAGTGCTTCAAATAAAACAATGCTAGTATCTGCTTAAATAAGTTTAAATTATATTATACAGTTTTATTATTTCAATCAATTAAGTTTTGATGTAATTTTTTTAATTCTTTTTTTTTGTCTCCTTTTTAATTAGGTCTAGTTCCCTTACCTGGAGCTGGCATTTACAGCGCAACAAAGTATGGAATTATGGGTTTCATGGAGTCTTTGCGTGCAGAACTTCGACTTTCAGATTCTGATTATGTACGCACAACAACCGCAAATACGTATCTGATGAAAACCAGTGGCGATTTGCACTTATTAAACGATGCTGGGTAAGTGAATTTAAATTAATAAAATATTTTAATAATAAAAATATGTGTTATTCATTTTTATGTTGTGCATATGAGACGTGTGCCACTTGCAGGTCCCAATTGCAATAATGTTATTTCGCATTCATTTAGAATGTTATCACGTTTCCATAATAAAAAATATATGCAGCACAAAGTAAAAATTGTAACAAAAGTTAAAATAATCAAAAAAACAAAAAAAAATCCATTTAATTGATTTGTTAATTATTTTAAATTGTAAAAAAAATTAAATTTTTTCTTTGTTCCTTTAATATTCATTACATGACAATCAACGACTGATCCGCAACAATTGACCCATGAAAAATACGTGCCATACTCTCGTACCACATGCAAACATTTCCACCAACTACTTGTACAGCATATCCAGCAGCTATCCTGGTTTGCCCACAGTATATGTAGCGGAAAAAATCGTTAAAGGTGTCATGCTGAACCATCGAATGGTGTACGTGCCAAAAATATTCGCTCTATCCGTCTGGATACTGAGGTGAGTGTGGAAGTTGTATATGTTATATATGTATGTGTATATATTTTAATAAAAAAATATAAAATATAAATATTTTATTTTTACAATTTTTTAAAAAATTAAATTAAATTGTTACATGCCGTGCTTGTTCTATGCAACCACAATAAAAGACACAAAACTGTAAAAGTGTTAAATTTTAATTATTCAATATCTGTTTCCATTTTTATAAACTAACAGTGCTTTTATATATATTATTATATTATAGTTTTTAATATTGAAATTTTTTTTACAGATTATTACCAACCAAATGGCAGGATTATATGCTGTTGAAGTTTTATAATTTCGATGTGAGGAGTGCGCATTTATTCTATTGGAAGTGAGTCGTGGTATTGGAGCTGGATTTTGTGTGACTGCCTCTCGTTCAAGTCATTAAAATCTGCTGATTGTTTTTAATTTTAATTATTTTTAAATACTTTTTTTTTATTTTAACGTTCATGTTTTCATCAATGGTCAGCTTTTGTATTAAAATATTGTTTATATTATTTATCATAATTTTGCATAATAAGTTTAATAATTAAATGTCATCATGTAAACACACAAACAAAGAAAATAAAAACAAATTACATTAAATTTATTATAAAGTATTAATTAATTTGTTGTTGTACTTAACAACATTATTTTCCAGAACAACAATAAATTATTTTATGAAATTAAATTAAGTTTTTATGATTGGTAATAAAATCTGATTTAATATTTATACAAATACTGAATGAAATTAATGTAAAGTAAATATAATCAAAAATATATTCGAATAAATATATTTAATATTTAAAAATAGCCTGTAAGTGAAATAAATGAAATGAACTAAAAAATTGAAAAATATTTTACTACACTCATAATGTTATGTTTAAAATTGAATTTTAATGGAGGGAGTATAGTGATAATGTGATCCATAAGTCCCTACCAAAAGGATGAGAAAGCTTTGACAAGTATCAAAGCTGCAATTTTTAAAAAAACATCTTTTTGATAATTCCAAAAAATTATTTAGAAAGTGATATTGGAAATTCTACAAAATTCTTAAAAAACAAAAAAAGGAATAGTATTGAAATTTAACAATTAAAAATAAAAATATAATTATTTAATTCAATTATTCTACAGCTGGTTTATGATTTCGTTGTAATATAAACACAGCAAGTAAAATTGTTAAGTAAAATTGTTTGCTTTCATAGCAAAAGTAACAAAACTCCAGAAAAATGTGCGAACATAAAAGTAAAGTACGGCTTTGGGTCAGTTGGTTAAGGTGCGCTGACTCTGAGCTTCAAATTTGGCAGGATTCGAGTAAGATTCCTGGTATTTGCAGCCTCAAAAAATTATTTACAAATATTTTTTTGTAAAGAAGTTTTTAGAACATTAGTGAACTACAACAACAAAAATTCATTTTTATATTATTTTAATTAATTGTATTTTTGGCTGATCATACAGCTTTTTCGAGTATTGCCAAATACCCATCATCAGTGGTCTTGGAAATAATTCTAGTATTTAATTACTAGAATTATTTCCAAGACCACTGATGATGGGTATTTGGCAATACTCGAAAAAGCTGTTTGATCAGCCAAAAATACAATTAATTAAAATAATATAAAAATGAATTTTTGTTGTTGTAGTTCACTAATGTTTTAAAAACTTCTTTATAAAAAAAAAAATATAAATTGGTTACAGTGATGCCGATAGCGCTGCGTGAGTAATGAATCTGCATAACATTGAAATTCTTTAGTAAACTCAATCATGAAACTAATCTAAAGTAAAGTAATCAGTAAAATAGGTGGATACTAAGAACAACTGGGAACTGCATAATTCTCGCGGGCCACAACAATAACATTAAAACAGGGTATATGTAAAACAAAAACCTATAGCGTAACGTTACAGATACAAAGGCATTAATCTAGGGTAAGTCGCAGATTAATCTTTCCTAATGTGGTTCCATACATTTTTAACTTACTTTTTATATACGTAGTAACGACAGCACTCACAAATCAGAAATAGTATTACGAAAGTAATAGTTTTTAATAATAACTCCATAGTATTGAGAATGTATTAACTTTTAACTTTCAACGTAGCCCTATGCTATGATTTAGAAACGTTCACTTTAAGAAAAGATAATAAATAATCGGTATAGAGATTTAAAAGAAAGGTTTATGAAACATTTTTGGTGAAACAAAAGTACAGAAGGAAATATATATATTTGGATATGTTAAATCCAAAAATATTGAAGTGAATCTTAGACATATAATCAGACAATCAGACATATAGAAACGGACAATCATAAAACGGAAAAAAGAAGAGCGACAACCACTAAGATGATGTAAAGAAGGTGAGACACCCTGAGGGCCCCATCCACTTGAAGGTAAATTGTTATACAGAACAAAACTCACTATGAGCTGTAAATCCAAATGATGATAATGATTAAATGTTAACGATTACATGGTCAATGTGAATTAATAACCATAATCATGCGATATAATGTCATTGTATTTTGAGGTTATGTTAAATCATTGGGTGATTTCAATAAACCAGAATAAATAAAAAATTTTTAAACTCACACTACGCGTAATAGTTTAATATGTCCAGTTATATGTAAAAAGTGATCAATCATTTATAGAGTTAACGATTTATAAAGGATCATTTTTAAACAAAAATGCTATGGACCTATATCTGAATGATTAAATTAATAATTTATTTTTAAATTAAATCTAAATTAGATCTAAATCTAAATTAATGTACTTTTTTATTTCAAGGATACTCTTTAAGTTGTTAATCTGTTTCAGTTAAAATTTACGCTTAAATATCTTTATACTTAAATCATCTTAATCCAACAGTACATCAAGGTCTGATTTCAGTTTTTTAGTGTTCTAGTTGTTTTAGAAGAGTGTCTTGAGAAAGTTTAGCTAAGTAAAAATATTTTGGAAATACCTCGTTAAACATTCTTATTAAATTTTAAGATGGATTCAATATTTAATAGTGAACTTACGCAAACTACAAACACAGTCAAAGAGATATTGATTGCCTTGAGCGTTTAGACCCAATTTTCTTACATCTAAAAATATACTATCAGCATATCGCCTATCTGTTTTTAATTTCAAATCAAAATCTTATAGAGATATTGTTAAAAAAATATTAGTAAATATTTTTGTACACTAAATTTAAGAGCTATTATTAAAAACAAAGAATAGAACTAAAGACAATCGATAAAAATTCACAAGAACTGATAATTTTTGATAAAAATATGTGTAAAATTGTTAAAAAAATAAAATCGTGATTGTAAAGATGAATTCCGAGGTATGAAATTTAGTCAATTTTTTGAATTTGTCGTTTAAATAACTATCGTCCGTTTGCTATGAAAAAATAAAAAAAAATGTTTAATAAATTTTTGCAATTTACTACAGTTTTGTTAGTTTTGAAAAGCATTTTCATAGAGGCCAATATCTTTTTGGAATGTGAGGATCCAGAGACATTCAATACATTTGTCGCAAGTCAAACGGATTGCTCAAGATATATATTTTGTGATGGAGATGATTCATTTGAGGGTGAATGTCTCGATGATAATTATTTTAATGAGAAAGAAGGAAATTGCGATGATCCTGATGCAGTGGTGTGTGCTATTGAAACAGATATTGAGGATATTGAACCCAATGCAGGTGTAGTCATAAGTGGTACTAGTATAGATACTGGATTATTTAATATCAATTTTGTAACCGATGTACCTGAAATACAAATATTAGTAAATAATAATGTGAATGAGATCAATAGTAATAATGAACTTTCTTCTGTTAATAATGAAAATGTTAATACTGTATTCACAAACAGTAATAAACAGAGTTCTGGTGGCATACTTTCAACAACGAGTAATAGTTTACTTAATAATGGATTTAATCATCAAGCTCCGAATGTTATAATATCTAGTTTGGCTGTAAATTCGAACAATGTACCAAATATAATTTCTTCAAATTTTGGACAATTCTTATCAAATAGTGCTGGACTTATTGGACAGAGTGGAAATTCTCTTAGCAACACTATTGAGAATACTCCAAAGGAAATACCGCAATGTCCTTTGTTGTATGGTCTTAGCAATATGTTTAATATAGCTAATCCAGATTCATGTGCTACATATTATACTTGTTATAATGGCATCGCTATACCTATGATGTGCCAACGGCATATGTATTTCAATCCGGATACTGGAAAATGTGAACGCAGCGAGAATGTTAATTGTCCGGTAAATTTTAGTAGTTTTTAATATTTATTTTTTGAATTAATATTTCTTATCATTGGTAGTTAATTCGTCCCGTACGTCTACAATGTCGCCAAGGAGTTTATGATTTTATACCACATCCACGGAATTGTGAATATTATTATTTCTGTTCCAATGGTTTTCTTATGATTTTTCAATGTCCGTTTCATTTTACATGGCACTATGAGCGTCGTACTTGCGTACATCATACACGGGCAAAGTGCTTCTCACAGGGATTGTAGAGCACATGTTAATGGGTTAGATTTCTGCATCTATAATTACAACCTGCTAAGTATGTCATATAGTATGTAACAATTTCTGTGTATCTTGTAGCTTTCTTTTTGATGTATGTTATATATCAATACAGAGATTAAACATAAAAAATTTGTTTTTTATCACCCATTACTTTGAAATTTATAGATTCTCTCTTTAATTGTATTTTGATAATTATTAAGAATTCAAAAATAAAATTCAATAGCAGAAAACGTTTATTTCTCTTTTTCTCTCTCTCTCTTTTAGTTCCACTCTTCCTCACTCTCTATTAATTTAAACGATATTAATATTTAGTTTCAACGAAAACAAATAATACAAGAACTGATAATATTTTAAAGAATGGACAATTTGAAAAGAAAGATTTGTTTATGATTTGTATAACTATCGAGAAAAATGTTTGCATCAGTATATTTTACAATAACTCGAAAAAAGAAAGAGATCATAAAAATATTTATATTTCAAATAAAATATATATTTTTGAGGTCTCTAAGAAGACTTTAAGAAATTCGATTCAATAAAAATGTTCATTGGATCAAATATCTAGGCTCTTACGTTCACTACTCTAGAGTCTACACATACTTTCTGGAAACATACTCTGAATTGATACTCATTCTTCTCAAGAACAAATCATCCTCCAAAAAATATTCTGTACTTATATATTTTAAATCGAAAATCGTATTCTTGTCAAAACAATTGACAATAGGCATAGACTAGATTATTAAATGCTAAATATTTACTAATCGATCATCTATGAGCGACGGAATGACAGTTCAAAAACAGAATTGCTGGTCCCATATGAGTAGAAACAGGACAATACTGAATTAATAATATTGAACAAAAACTGAGATTCTGGTTCTGATGCAACAAAATAAAATTGAAATGACATTTAAGAAAAAAAATTGGGTTGGGTTGCAAATATAATACTACATACATCCACAACATATTTAAAACCCACCTTTGGTCTTTACCCGCATCAGCAACTCTTCCTTTTATTTTGGTTTCTCAAATTTATATTTTTTGTATTCCCTTATTCTTTTCAATCTACAGTATATAGAGATATAGTACCTTTA